CCAGCCACTCCTCGGAAGGAAGGTTGGGCAATCCTACTTCCGTAGTGATACTGCCTCGGAAACCCAAGGAGGGGTCACTATGAGTCGGGGCCGACTCGACGGCACATAACAACAACAACGCCCTTGAGGCTATGCTCTTTTTCAGTCTCTCGTGCCTCTTTCACCGGAACGCTGGTGGCGCAGTGGTAAAGCGCCCGACTGTGGACTGCAAGGTGGACTGCAAGGTGGGTGGTTCGCACCCACCCGCCGCTCGACAGGAGAAAAATGTGGCAGTCTGCTCCTTTAAAGATTACAGCCTTGAAAACCCTCTGGGGTGGTTCCACTCTGCCCCATAGGGTTGGTGGGCTCTCGTTCAGCCTCCCTGAGGCCTTTCCCCTCTCTTCTCACCCTCCTGCCTCCTCTAACCAAGTTCATTTAATACTGCCTCACACACACACAGGCGACCGGCAAAAGTCCAACAAACACATGAGGAATTGCTTGTGATCTTTAGTCCTCAGAGAGATACAAATCAATGATGAGAAATCACCTCACCCCAGCGATAATAGCAAAGTTCAACAGGACAGAAAATAACAAATGCTGGCAAGGTTGTGGAGAGATTGGAACTCTCACACACTGCTGGTGGGATTGTAAAATGGTACAACCATTGTGGCAAACAGTATGGTGTTTCCTTAAAAAACTGAAAATAGAAATACCATTAGAACCAGCAATTCCATTACTAGGAATATATCCTAAAGAGGTGAGAGATGGAACACGAACAGAGCTACATGCAGAACACTCAAACCAGGGCAATGCACCTACCTGCCCTACGGAGATACATCCTGTAAGGTTCAGTGCTGGGAGAGAGAAATCAGGCCAGTAGGGTTCTGGAAGAAAGTTTATTAAAGTATCCGCATGCAGACGGACTGAGACCTGAATGGTGTCAGCCCGGGCTGAGTTCAACGGTGCATCACCCCCGAGTTGGGGAAGTTGGCAGGTGTAAGCAGGGTGGCAGGAAGTTCTGTTGTGGGAGAGCAGACCACGGCTGTCTTGGTAGCAACAGTCAAGACAGCAGATGTTCAGCTGTGTTCTTGGAACTGTGAGCTTCAGTCGTTCTTTGTAGTTCTGTCTTGTCTGAACTGGGTTATGACCACTGTCCAGTTATTCAATTTCATTTCTGGAGAGAAAAAGTACTAGGATTAAAGCATAAAAGTAACATTGGAATTCTAAGTCAAGGCTTATATCTATCACATCCCTTGGAGCAATCGGCCATGGGACACCAGAGGGGCAACATTCGCACAGAGGACAAGCCAGACAGACAGGAGTGCATAGCTAAGACGGGCACAGGGAGGGGGCAGGGTGGGGGTCACTGGGGAGGGAGAGGAGGAGAGTGGGTTAGGGTTGGGGATGGTAATAGGGGAGTGAAACCAAATGTACACGAATTGTTGAACATAAAACAAATTCTGCTCTATAAATTTGCACCTAAAGCACAATTAAAAAAAGAAAAAAAGGTTCAAAAAGTCAATTAGCCTTCCAAGTATATTGATACATGTAAGCTGGGCTTATGAAAAATGTTCCTGTTGTTATAACCAAATGCAGGGATATTTTTGTTTAAGAAAATAAAGTTCTTCTGAAACATTGCCAAAAAATAAAAGAAAAAAGTCAACTCACGGCACACAGACACAACCCAGAGGCAATGATGTGCAGACACACACACACACACACACACACACACACCGTTCTTCTGCATTACCTCCACCACGTGGTCAGCACACAACGCGGTTTCCCCTTTTGCCCACCAGCTGAGGCTTCCTCCCAGAGCTGCCAGGAATTCTCAGCCAGAGTCCAGGAGCCAAGGACCAAGACTGCAAGCTTATCAGAAGCCATGTCTTGGAGGGGTTCCCTGTCTTTTCACCCCCAAGAACCCCTTTGATTACTCCCTGCCTCACCCCCAGCCCGGATTCTGAAAGAGTCTACCAGCCAGACTGCATTGATTAAGTATTTATTCCTCACTCCATTTTTTATTAATCAAAGGCCTATCTAATTGCCCATCGCAGCTTGTGATCAGCGTGGTCTGGCCGGCCTAACCAGCTGTGTTGCTACTTTCCAGCCTCAGCTAGCAAGCTGCTGTCTTTCTGTGGCCGTTTCACTATCAGCAGCTCAATTTGGGGGAGGATTTTTGAATATTAGACAGTCTGCAGACCCCCATGTACAGTTTCCTGCATCCCGGGGTACAGGGTAAGAACTCAAGATATTCCCACCCATCCCTCTTTCTAAAAAAGGTGAGATGGATGCTAGGACAGGAAGGCAGAGTCAACCTGTGAGGGCAGTGGGAAGTCAGAACCAGGAAGTGTTATCCACTAAAAGAAAACAAAACTCACTGCCGTGGAGTCGATTTCAACTCATAGCAACCCCCTCCTTTGGCTTCCAAGGCAGTATCTCTATGGAAGTAGATTGCCCAATCTTCCTTCTGAGGAGTGTCTGGTACATTTGAACCACTAGCCTTCTGGTTAGCAGTCTAACTGGCCTTAGGCACCACGCCACCAGAGCTCCCACTGTTGTTGTTGTTGTTGTTATGTGCCGTCGAGTCGGCCCCGACTCATAGCGACCCCTCCTTGGGTTTCCGAGGCAGTATTGCTACGGAAGTAGATTGCCCCATCTTCCTTCCGGGGAGTGGCTGGTGGGTTTGAACAGCCAGCCTCTGGTTAGCAGTCAAGTGCCTTAGGCACTATGCTACCAGAGCTCCTGCATAACTCAAATACGAAGAATAAAGAAAGCATCTGACCCACCTAACTGACCACCTGGGGTGAGGTAAGGACATGAAGGGAGGATGGCTCTGGTCCCACACTCCGGGACTCACTAGTCCTGGAGGCAAGCTCTGTGGCTGCTCCACAAGTCAGATGAGGTCCAAACCCCAAAGGCCCAAACCAGTGGCTGTCAAGTCAGTGCCAACTCATGGCAACTGCGTGTGTGTCACAGTAGAACGACGCTGTATTTTTGCATGCCTTAGAGTGTGTAACGACATGTAATGACTCCAAGTGACAGAGCAGAAATGCCCCATAAGGGTTTTGTAGGCTGTAATCTTTATAGGGGCAGATTGCCAGGTCTTTCTCCCATGGAATCAATGGGTAGATTCGAACCACCAACCTTCCCATCAGCAGCCGAGCACCTGCCCATTGCACCACCAGCGCTTCTTACTGTGGGGCTGTTGTTGTTGTTGTTGTTGTAGCCAAGCAGACCTGTGCACCACAGGATCTGCAGGGCTGTGATCTTTCAGGAGCAGGTGGCCAGGCTGCCAAGCCTTTCTTCCAAAGCAGCTCTGGGTGGCTTTGAACTGCTAACCTTTAGATTAGTGGTGAAGCACTTACCCATTTGTACAACCCAGGGACCCCTCCACGGGGTTTTCAATGACAGGGTTATCATAAACAGATCTCCAGGCCTTTCTTCCAAGGTACCTCTGGGCAGACTCAACCTCCAACCTCCAACCTCCAACCTCTCAGTAGCTATGCACACTAACCCTTTGCACCAACCAGCAACTCCGAGATGAGGACAAGCTCAGGCTGCCTGTGGTGCCGGGGTCTCCATTTTGCAGGGAAGGAGACAGAGCCAGAGAAGCAGCTTTGTGAGGAGGAGGGGGGCTGACTGCCAAGGACCTTGGCCAAGGTCACTGCTTCAAAGTAGCAGTGTCTGCCTGACATCTAAACTTGGGCTTTTCCTGGTCTTAACAATGAATAGTGGATATCAGAGAA